TAAAAGGATTTCTGACCTTAAAGACTTATGTCTTGGAGGAATTACGGGAAATTTGTATGCAGGAAAATTAGCATTCAATGTTTATCCAAGAATTGCATACAATCTAGGAGATCGTGATTTAATAAAGTTCTTACCCTACATCAAGATTGTAAAGAACAGAGTTAATGAAAGAAGGGAATAGACCCTATTCCACGACCTACAAGATTTCATATGCTTTATCAAACACTCATCATTCTGAGGTATTTCTAAGGAAGGAATTCATACAAGTTCCCAGAATATTTGAGGATTTTGCAAAAGCAGTATTACCGAATATTATTGAAAATCCAAAAATTAAAGAAATTGATATGAGGATCCAAGATAAACATGTTTTTAACTGGTCTAAAAGCCTCATGATTGAGCCCAGGAGAATGTCTTTCCAGCAAGATAGAGCTATTAGCAGTAACCGTTGGGAAGAACAACGAGCGAGTATACATACAAGAACTCCAAATGTATTTAAAACAACTGGAGAAATTAGATGTCCTGATGGATGGAGGTCAGTAGAAATAAGGTTCGATATCACACAAAAGGATAATTTATTTCCCTGTGATGCCTTATATTACCTCCAACAACATATAATAGGACAATATGAAGGTATCCTGAAGATCGGAGAAATTGAAACGGTGATCACAGGAGGAGCAGGAAGGAGCTCGGAACAACTTGTTCTAGGATTAGAATTCCTTGAAAACCATAAACCATGGAAAGGTTACAAGACGGAATGGAGTTTACAGTAAATGGACAAAGATATAGAATTTAGATGACAACTAGCCTATTCTCGATTTATATCTCAATCGGAATATTATATGAATCATATAGGGCAGAATACTTTGCAGCCTATATTGATTCTAGAGCAAGTATTTGCACAGCAAAACCTGGAGTATTTCTGAAAGAAATAGGAGAGGACTTAACCCCTATAGCAGGAAGAGATTTCTCTAAAAGGATTCTTATCCTTAAAATTAAAGAGGAATTAAACAAGCAGAAATCATGATTGGCGGAGCCGGTGGTAATCCTTGGTATAAGGTAAAAACACCACCAATCTATTTTCATGATACATGAGCAGATGTTTTGTTAGGAAATAATTTACTACAAACTTTCAAAAGATTTACTCAAGAAAATAAGACAAGAAGAATTATTTTTACAACTCTATGTGAACATAAGATTATCGTCCAAAGGTTAAGAGAGGCATTTCATAGAAAAATGCCTATCAAATTTCGCAGCAAGCGTGGTGATGAAGGAAAACTTCGACACCCAAAAATGAAGGATAAAAGAAAATAGGGAAAATAATTGTGAGCAACCTGAACTATACGTGTTTTTGAGATTTGCAACCTAAAGTATGTTTTTTGGTAAAATGCAACCTGAACTACATACACAATCACTATTTGAACCCTCGACCACATTTTGATTGTTCGATCAATAGCAAAAAAGGGCACGTGTATGGTCAAGATGTGGTCGAGGGTGCAATTAGTGATTGTGTATGTAGTTCAGGTTGCATTTTACCAAAATAAATACTTTAGGTTGCAAATCCCAAAATCACGTATAGTTCAGGTTGCTCACAATTATTTTCCCAAGAAAATATGAAGGAGCAATCCTTCAGTTAAGAATCAAAAGTCTAGGAGGCTACAAGGAGAAAAGAATAAAGTCAGAAACCATTCAATTCCTCAAGGCAAGTCTAGACAAGAAGTTACAACCAGAAGTAACTCTGGAAGAGCAAATCTCACTAGAAGATATTGAAAGAAAAATCCAGAGGAATTTCAATGAAGATCCTTTAGCTTGGTGGGATAAAAAATGAACTCAAGGCATCCTTATAGGTTAAAGCAGGAAAAGAACATGAATTTGTGAGATACAAGCCCATCCTTATGAATCAAGCTGACCGTGAGGATATGCAAATAATACTTAAGGAACACTTAGACCTTAAGTAAATTAAAGAAGGATTTTCTCCATATAGCAGTCCTGGATTCCTTGTTCGGAACCATGGAGAAATAAAAAGAGAAAAAGCAAGGTTGGTTATTAATTATAAAGGTATTAATAACATCTTAGAATTTGATGGATATTACATTCCGAGCAGAGAACACTTGGTGAATTGTATCCAGAACGCCAAAGTATTTTCAAAGTTCAACTATAAATCAGGATTCTACCAAATCAAGACGGAGAAAGAAAGTAAGAAGTTTACAGCTTTCTCTACACCACAAGGGCATTACGTATGGAATGTGATGCCAATGGGGTTAGCAAATGCACCCCAGATTTATCAAAGAAAGATAGATAATCTTTTTATGGGATGTCTTCCAAGAACCTTTACGCAAAGCTGGATCACCATCGGTGAGCCATAAAGAATTCCGAGAGCAAGAGGTTTCAAAGAAAACTCAAAACGAGTACCAGGAATCTATACCTAGTGCAGCGGACGCTGCTTACGAAAGTATTTCTTCAGCTTCTGGAGAAAAAGAGAAAGAGACACAAGACCAAAGGTCTAAAGTCTCGAGTCAACCCGACACCTCTGGGTTAAAGAGGAAGAGATCAACCTACGGCCACAGACAAGTCGAGAAAAGCTTGATACTAACAAAAACATTGGTTCTCCTACTTCTTTTCAGGTTTACAATTCACTAATGGAGGACTTAATAACGAAAAAGAATATTAAGCCAGAAAAGTTTATCATTGACAATACTGGTTTATATCCCCGAGTTTGGGTACTAGAAGAAGCTCGACCAGACTTTGTAAGAAAATGGATGGACTTTGGTGCAATAGCTTCAATTTTTACTGAGGCGCCGAATTTTCCTGAGATTTCAGGATTACCCGCGTGGATTACTAAAGTCGTATATGAATCTTGGTCTTATAATCCTCATCTGAAAAGAGGAGAAGGTTTGGAGCTAAAATTTATCTCTGTTGCTCCAGAACCTGCATGTGATTATGGAAGGCATGCCGCCTTTCATTTCATTAAGTTGCAGCGCCCCAACAAAAAGGTGCTACATCATATCGGTACTACCAAAGAAACATCTTTGTACACAACAATGACAGAGGATGAGATTTTCACCCAACGAGCCTACGGAGTATGGTGTGTCTTACCGAAATGGAAAAGGTAAAATATCCGTTTAAAATATTTCAAAATTCACCAAACGGATCATTTTTACTTAATTCCTTGACGGGAAGCACCTCCAAGTTTCCAAACGACTTGTTCGAGAATAAAAAAATAATTTTATGGGAAACAAGTTGGCAACCACAGAGAATACATGAAGAAAGGCGTGTAACATGTTGCACGGTCTTAGATGGCATGAATATATCTGTCCATGTTGTGCAATTCAAGAGAAACTACTGTTCGGAAAATTATTTTCGATGAAACGGGAAAGACCCGGCCAGAAAGACAAACCGGAGAAAAAGGGAATTCCAAAAAACCAGAATTTTAAAAGTTCAAAAGAAGACGAGTCTGATTAAGCTTTATTAGACAGGGAGGCTCACCAGCAAATTAATGGCGGGACAAGTGAAATTGAAAGATTCCTTCACCAAAGGTAAAGTCAAGCTTTTCCGAGTCAGCTCCACATACACCATGTGACCAACAAAGGAAAGTGGGTTCAATAATTCTTCAGCAGCCGGACCCATCAACATGTGAAGACAACCAGGCATTTACCTACCGGTTGGTACAAGCAATAATAGAGGACTCCAAGACCTCTATAAATACAAGATTTGGAGGAAACAAAAGGCATCGAACATCATCTTCCGTTTTCTCATTTAAATAAAATTCTCTGTAATAATAGTCTGTGAGCTTGAGTGTCTTTTAATTTTTTTTTGTAATTTTTATGTGTGTACGAGTGTTTGCCTCTATTATGAGAGGGTAAAAGGTTTTCACCTCCTTTAAGGAGATTACTTTATGTAATAAAATCACTTTGAGTAAATATTTGTACGCCTGGAGTAGGAAACGAACCAAGACTGTGCTAAGTGTTATCTGAACGAGTCGGATAACTTGCAGTTCATCTTCCGAATTGGTGGAGTTAGACGGTGGGGAGCCGTCCATGAAAAGAACTAGCGGCACTAATTTTCCAACTGGTGGAATTGCAACCCATCTCACCCTGAACCATTTTGGTCAAAAAAAGGTACGAAAATTATGGAGTTATTTAATTTTACGGAAGCATGTTGGGTCTAATATTGTTCATTTTATTGTGGGTACTCTTTAAGTGAAAAATTCAGGTACAAAAAGCTAGGTACTGCGTATTAATAAAGTTGGTACTATTTTCTTATTAAAGAGGTACGATTCCAAAATAAACTTGTACTAATTTTCTGGACTTAAATAAATATAAGGGTATTGTGGGAATACTAGAGGATTATTATTTTAATGTGAGTAAAGTGGAAGAAAATTAGAGGTAGAAACTGAACTGAAAGTTGAAAATAGATCCGGTACTTTTATAGAAGTAGCCTTTTTTTATCCACTTTATTTTCTGATTTCCACATATATTATGTCATTTTGGTTGGTTAACCAAAGATACTTTATAAATTGGGATCACATATTCACATTCACAATTCACATTCACATCCCAATTTTCCATGCATGCATATGGTGAGCTCTCAAAATTTTGAGAGCCCCCACTACTTACACCCCTGACAATGATCACAATCTGAAGCCGCATTCCAACTTGTGAATCTCACAAACATTTTTACATAAAACAAAGGGGAATCAGAAAAAGTGAGGGAAAAAAAAAATGTAAGACAGAAGAAAAGGGATAAACCAAGAACAAGATAAAACCCAAGTTTTCTTCACTTGAGAAACTCCACATGCACCACTCACTTCCCTAACTTATATGCACCCCTACCTCATCCACAATAAATTCACACACACACACACACACACACACACACACACATGCTCACGATTAACTATTCACATGCATGTCTATTATACCACCATCACTACAAAGAAAAGAAAAAAAAAATCCTGGAATGAAGGTTTCACAACAAGTAAAACCCATCCGACTCAAACTCCATCACGGACAATCAATGTTCCTCCCGGGCCCACCATAGTAGAAAAAGTTGCCCCACCCCCCATTGTTGCCGAGCTGCACGTTGTAGCAGCTCGACTGCTCGGTGAAAATACCGATGTCCTTTGGGGCCCTCAAATTGTTAGAGCTATCGACGACCTGAATATTCCTGACGTAACTGGCCTTACCAAACCCCTCTTCAGAGAAATGGCCACTCCCCATTTGGGTGGTGGTGTGCTGGCCGTCCGATTGGGAGTTGACGACCTCACCTCCCCACTCGACCATCGAGGCACTTTCCGACAAGTAGGAGAACAAGAATCCCGGCCAGTATCCTAAAACATGCTCGTTCCCGAATTGCATCCACCAGTTTCCTTCTTTCGGGTCCTATACGCGCCCAACATTATTATGAAAATAAAATACAGCTTAATTAGTTTGTGATTTCTTTCATTGCCTCATGTGTAGAAAAACACATTATTAACAAACGAAAATGACCAAGGGTGAAAGTGGTAAGGATAAGCAGAATTAATTAATGTTAATTGAAAAGGTGATCCCATAAAGCTTTTTGCTTAATTACAATTTGTTAAGAATATTATCCTGACTTATGATTATGTCTTGAGAAAGTTTACAATCATGAGAATAACCTGAGGGATATATTTGTAAATTTACAAAAAAAAAAAAGTGGCCTTTTCTTTAAGTTAGAGGAAACCTAAGGGAGTATATGCAATTATCGTGTGTAGGAAATTATATGTTAGGCGAAATTGCAATTTTAGTCATGTTTGTTTGATCCAATGACATTTTTTGTCCTAGTAATTGAACATTTTTGTTACTTGATCCTATTATTTTAAAATTTAACGCATGTTTGTTTGATCCAATGACATTTTTTGTCCTAGTAATTGAACATTTTTGTTACTTGATCCTATTATTTTAAAATTTAACGCAATTTTAGATGGATTTTTTATTAGCAATTTAAATCCTCTAATTTTAAATTTTGTTGAAATTTCAGTCCCGAAAAACTGAAATTGCAGCAAAATACTAAATTACAGGATCAAAAGACAAAAAGTTAAAATCTTTGGTTTAAAAATGCTACAACGTTAAATCAGCTGGACTAAAAATGCAATTTTGCCTCATTATTTAAAACTACAAACATCCTTCACCTCCTACATAAGCAGTGTAATTTGTTAATAAAAAAAAAAAACACATGGGGAGTCCATTTGTAATTTATGAAGTTTAGGGGGCTCTTTTTATATTTAACTAAAAAAAAATAAAAGATGAACTAAACTAAAAAAACTAGCGGTGGCATTTGTCACTACATATCCCGAAAATCCTTTCATCATATCTCTTGTATTATTTGCTCAAGCTGTACTTTTTTTTATCTCAAAAAGAAAGAATTTATATTTGAAAAAATGCGTGCCAGCCTAAAAAATGTGTTGAAAAATACATGTTGCAAAACATAATGGAGAATTTAGGTCAGAGA